TGGCTAGACCAGAGGATGTACACTGGTACAGATAGGAACTGGAGATACAGGGAATCCAAGGCGGATGAGCCCTACAGGACCAGTGGTGTGAGTGGCGATACTTGGGAGGGCAGAGGGAGAGTGGGTTGGAAAGGGAACAGATTGCAAGGAACTATATGTGACCTCCTCCCTGGGGGACGGACAACAGAAAAGTGGGTGAAGGGAGACGTCGGACAGGGCAAGATATGACAAAATAATAATAATTTATAAATTATCAAGGGTACATGAAAGAGGGGAGAGTGGGGAGGGAGGGGGGAAAATGAGGAGCTGATGCCAAAGGCTTAAGTGGAGAGTAAATGTTTTGAGAATGATGAGGGTAGTGAATGTACAAGTGTGCCTTATACAATTGATGTATGTATGGAATGTGATAAGAGTTGTATGAGCCCCTTATAAAATGGTTTTTTAAAAGAGCCCCCAGTAAAATGATCTTTTAATAAAAAAGAATAATACTGGCTGCTGTAACAAACACCTCCCAATAAGCCTTGGCTCCTGCTGACGTCAAGACCACCGCGGGTTGTATCGAGGAGGGCTGGGTCATGGCGGAGGGCTTTGCTCCACATAGTCCTAGGGCCCTAGTTCCCTCACATTCAGTGACCCCACTGTCTCCCAGGACCTTGGAATTATTCACACAACCCAGTGCATCTTCTAGGAGTCCCAGGGTGGGTGGGCGCAGGGACTGAATAAGTGGGGCCCCTGAGAACCTTGACTGTGCTCCCCCTTTTGTGTCACACGGACTTATCCGGGACATGGCCACCCGGCTTCCCAGAGCTGGGAGGAGCTGGAGAGAGTCCCTTTCCACATGCCTGGAAAGAGGAGGCAGCCGGCCGGAGACGTCGGTGAGCAAACACAGTCACGACCGGGAAGCCGAGAGGTTGCTTACTCAGCGAGGGCGCTGGGTCTGCGTGTAGGCTTGAGCCAGGTGCCCAGGGCCTTGTGGGAGAAGCCAGGGCTCTGAGTTTGGCACTTAGGAGACACATTGTGCCTGGACAAGCAATCCACAACCCTGTGTGAGAAGGTGTGTTATCATGAGGTACAGACCAACGGCAGCCTGTGTCGGGGGAGCTTTGAAAGAAAGGCCGTGTGGGGGAGGAGGTCTGCTCACAGCAAAGACGGTTGACAGGAAGGTGGTATATGTCTCTCTGAAAAACAGAAACAAGGCACCAGCCACTGTCGAGTTGATTCTGACAAGGGGACTCCCCGTGGGTGAGGGTAGAGCCGGGGTCCTGCAGGCTTGTCCAGGACAGCATCCGGGCAGGCCTACCTGCTGAGTTGCTTCTGTGGGCAGGTTAGCACTGCCGACCTTCGGGCCCGTAGTTGAGCGTTTGACTGCTTGTGCCACCTGTCGTTATTGGATGATTCTTAATAATTGGTGAGTGAGTTTGACGCCTCACTGATCAGTGGTTTGGGCTCTCGTGGATTCTGGGGTTTTGAGTGAAAATCCTTCCTCTTTCTGCCTCCCGCAGTGACGGATGATTCATACTCTGATAGATTTACGCCTTTCCTTTGACTTTCTCCCTTGGGAAGCCTGAATGTGGAGCCTAGAAGCTCAGCCAGGGTTCGTTAGCCACCCATAGTGGTGGCGATGGGGCAGCAGCAGGATAGGTGGGGCAGAGGGCAGCCTCTCCGTGGCTTTGTGTGGACTTCCACCTCCACGTGATTTTGAAAACCGTCACCTGCCCCGGTTTCTGTGTGCTCATCTGAGCAACCCTTATTTGATAATAACCCCGAGAAGCCCTCCAGTGTATGAAGCTGGTGAGGGTGCAGAGCCTCGATCAGGTCTGAGATTCTGTGGTTCCCCAGAAGAGCCCCCACGCACACCTCTCCCAAGACTGGTTCCCCGAGAAGCTTGGGGCAGCCGTCGCCAAACCTCGCCGATCTCGTGCACCTGCGCGCCCAGCCGTACCCATCGCCACCTGCTTGTGCTGGCCTCTGCCACCATCTCCCCCGAGGGGACGTGCATGGGTGGGAGGGAACCTCTGGGTTTGCTGGAAATTTGATGGCCAGCTCCCTCTGGTCAGGAGCGGCCACGTGACCCTCACAGAGTGCGGGACTGAGGCAGTTCAGTTCATGACATATTGCTACTTTCTTTTTTTCTCACTAGAGAGAGTGAGAGAGAAGCAGCATCCTGCTCCTAATAATTCTCCCACACCCTCTGTTCACTTTGATGTTTCTCCTTAATGAGCTCTGGTCTTCAAATAGGGCCGAGAGGAGGAACAGGGACCTTGGGAATAACAGGAATCCTTGGCGAGTAACCTTAAATTAATGAGATTAATAAGAAAATCAAGCTCAGTTGTGCAAATTAGTTTTGCGTTCTGGGCCTTGATGGCTTAAATTGCAGATTCTAATTAAAAGCCCCCCTCCCCCACCCCCGTATAACTACAAATGGCTTCTCAGGTCTCTCTGACCCAAAAGTTTCTCCGGTTTTAAACTCTTGTCATGATAAAAGCAGCCACAGATGTCCCCCTTTAAGTCTTTCTAGCCCCAGAAATCTCATTTCACCCATAAGGACGGCGTCTTTCCTCAGGGGAAGTTACTTGGCCAGGGACCCTGCATGGGGAGAAGAGAAAGGAATGAGGGCAGTGGGTTTGGGGGCCTCCCTGGGGCGGACAGATGTGGTCCCTGGCCAGTGGTGCCGCTCCCTTTCCCAGGTGAGGGTGACTGGCCACCCCACTAACAAACTGAGCGGTGAGCACGGCAGGCTGAGGGGCTACCGGGGACACTGGGGAAAGGTCGGTGAGGGAGGGGAGAGAGCCCTCCACATGCTAACTCCAGTGTCCAGGAGGCACCCCCCTCGGCTTCTAGCCAGCGTTTGGAGAGACCAGCACCCCAAGAAAGAAAACTGCTTCCCCATAACCACACCCTTAGACGTGGCCACTGTCTCCGGGAATCTTCCTAGGGGCTCATTTCCCGGGTGCCAAATCTTTTGAACATGGCTGTAACCAGAGCACCGGTGCGGCCTTCCGGGAAACATGCACACGGTCCAGAACTACCGCAGTGTTTCTCTCACGCGGCTCCCCAGGCTTCTGTTGGTCCTCGGAGAATCCAGTGCAGTCCCTACTGAGGTATAAAAACTAGTCGTGTACGGCGTTCTGCGTCTTCACACAGCAAGTCCACTCCTGAAACCGACACCCGGATTAAAAAAATCGCACAAGGCGGAACATTGCCCACACCTTGGCAGCCTTCCTCCAGCCCTGCCCAGGCAGTTCCCACCTCCTCCAAGACAGCCCTCGCCCGCCCGGCTTCCAGCACCGTCCCTTCTGACTTTGTACTTGAAAGTCATGGGAAGGAAGCGGCTGTCATGGGCCCTTGGGTGGCTGGCTTCCCCCGCCCCTGGAGGTTAATCCTGAGGTTCACCGGCTTGTTTCGTCCATGCTCCTCTTGCTGGGCACGTGCGTGGCCTCCCACTTCTGACCATTAGGCGTTTGGCGGAATGTTCTTGACACGTCTTTTGGTGAACTCCAGGAAGCACCGCTGTTTCTCGTGTGTTCTAGGGCAGGGGTATGTTCACCTTGAATAGATGTCGCTGTTTCCCGGAGTGGTTACCCACCACCCACAGCCTCCAGCCATGAACCCGAGTTGCAGCTGGCCATGTTCTCTTGGGCATTTGGTCTTATTTGTCTTTTCCATTTTAGCTGTTGGAGTGGGGTGTGCATTGGCATCTCATGGCTTTAATTGGCATTTCTCCGGTGACTCATGAGGCTGGAGAGCCTTGCGGGTGTCCACTGGCTTTATTAGAGTCGGTTTTTATCAGCCAGGTAATAAATAAATGTGTCTTGTGGAAGTTCTGGGATATACTCACCTGTACCCGAGGGTTCAGATTGCTTCCAGACTTCCAGATGTTACAGGTTTTATCACAGCAAACATCTCTGTTTACTAGTCTGTCCCATGTTGGGAACTTGGAGAAAAGAAATGGTTTCTTATTGATGAACACTGTTGATAAATCATGCCCGCTGCTTTCTGAATGCTTGTACCATTTCAACGTGTTATCGTCAGTATGAGAATCCTGCCCCATTTCTTTTGTGGTGAGCATTCCCAATGAAAGAACAAATAGTCCTCGTTTGGAGGATTAATTTAGGAGATTACTGTTGTATATAGTATTGTTTTCAAAGTTATTACTAATGGTTTAATCACTTTTCTAATACGTTTACCACGTGTGTGTACCTCTTTTATCAATTCCCATCTTTTGCCACTTGGATTCTTAGTAATTGTTAAAACATTGGTGTGGCATTAACATCACAAGTGCTTTCCCCATCCTGTTCACTGTTTGTGTTCCATATGTTTTATTGTAAATCCTTCCCAGTGCCAAGAAGCCAGTGGGCCCTTTACCTGGGTGTCTTCTCAGTGCCTCCCTGCTGGGGCTGCTGTCCAGGCTGAAGGTTCCCGATGTTCACAGTGCAAGGGGTAGAACCAGCAGGGGAAACAGGCTACCCACGGGGCTGAGTGAACGGCTCTCGCTGCCTTGCACCTCCCAGGTGCTGCTGTTTGAGAAGCCTTCCAAGGTCTGCGCGCCCAAGTCGGGCCCGAGGGTGCTCTTTTTGCATGAAGGCACCTAGGGACGAGGCAGGACCTTTGGAGTGTGGTGCCCTGGGGAGTGGGGGTGTTCGGAGCCCTTGTGGGCTGGATACAAGTGATCCCCAAAGAAGAACCAAAGAGCACACTGTTTGTGGGGCAGTAGCTTCTCCTAGGGCTATAGTTGTGGCCAGAAGACTCGGACTTGAGCTCCCGGAGCCGGGCCCCAGCTGCCCTCCTGGCCTTTTGGAACCGGCCGGTCACTCCTGGAGGAATGTGCTCTCTGTCGCCACCCTTCGGCGGGGCTGTCGGTGAGATCTCCCTTTGGGCGCGCGCTAACAGCGTGGCTCTGGGAGCGTCCGTGAGTGTGGAGGTGCTCTTGGCTTTGCCACACTGAAATGATGACCCGAACGTCTCAGGACCAACGTGCTGACCGTCCGTGTCTGTCTGTTTTCAGATGATGGACTTGGATGTGCTTCTGTGAGGACGGGCCACGGGTCCACGGGTCTACAGGTCCAAGAACAGGCATGTCCAGTAAGTGACTGTGTGCATTCACGCGAGGTCTTTGGCAGCAGAGGTGTTGACATTCTGTGGGGGCTGGGGTGTGTCTCTGGACACAAAGGAGGCCTTTGAGAGGGCTGTCTTAAACCAGGCTGATGGCGCGGCCAAATAATCCCAGCTCTTAAAGGTGAGCTCCTTTCCAAGGACGGCCAGAATTGTCGCTTAGAGGGCTGGGAAGATGTGGCACCCCCTTCTTGCTTTCTAACCTGTGGGGTACCAGCCCCCACAGTTGAGCGGGGCTAAGGGGCAGTTGTGTAATTGAGGGGTAAAATTAAAAGAGACATCAGACAAGAGAAGGCGTGCTATGATTTCAGCAGCCAGGTAGGTCTGCGCAGAGAGAGCAACTATATTTCCAATCACCCATTATGTACACTTAGGGGACGTGCAAGCCCCCTAATTATAGGTAACTACATACGTAACAGGAAGGGGCTGTACAATAGGCATGCGTGTGACAGGAGGGGGGTGAGCTAGGGCTGTACATGTAATAAGATGGGTGGACTCTAAGGTCAAGATGGCAGCCTAACCTTGATCCTCCTTGAGTTGGCTTGACCTTGTCTTTGGGTTCTCCTTCAGGGGAACAATCCACTATCCTTATGAGCAGGTAGTGGGCCCCACTTAGGATGGGGCAGACAATAGGGTCTGATTGCTCTAGATGGCTCTGGGATATAGCCTCTAAGCAGTTGACCTCCCATTGACCATGAGTTAGCAAGCAGCATCTTAGGTTTGGCATATAATATGGGGGAACAACCTGGGGAGTAACCTTTCTGTTTCCCACACTAGCCTGCCGCATGGAGCACGGTGTAAGCATTGTGCTGTGGCCGAGCTGCGGTCTGATTCAGGTGGCTGGTGGTCTTCCGCTATCCCACGCCGCGAGTCGCTCTCATGACGAGCACTGAGTCGGGACAGTTGGCCGAGTACATGGTTCACGGGAAAGGGAGCAGAGACCAGGGCACACGGGAAGTTTGCAGAGCTCCTTCAAGGAGAGGAGCCTGTCGGAGGTGTGGCCTTGGGCTCTCTCCAAGGTTCGGCCCTGTTGACTTAGCCTCCCAGAGGCTGGCAGGTGTCTTCGCGTAGCCCCTGCCTCGTCTAAGAGGGGTTGCCGAGAATTGACTGAAAAATGGAAAGGACCCGTGAAGCACAGAGGTAGAGCCTGTGTGAGGTCCTGGGCGCTTCCCCTGAGAGCACCTTGTCTCTGGGCTGGCCATTCGCCTGGGCTCTAACCAGCGTTGCTCTTATCTCTCAGGGCTACCGCCATCATAGGGAACTGGGGCCTGGTGGCTGCACTTCCCTGGGACCCGGGTGTGGTCGGGCACAAGAACAAGAAGCACATCGCCACCCATGACATCATGACAGCAAGAGAGCACAGCCCGCGCCATGGCGCCAGGCCCCGCTCGATGATGCAGCGGGCATCCACCATCGATGTGGCAGCTGACATGCTGGGCCTGTCCCTGGCAGGTAGGAGCTCTGCATGGGCAGGCCCCCACTCCGTGGCACTGGTGGCAGGGTCATGCCTACCTCTTGGACCCGCCCCTGGCAGTGACTGTCTCAGGCTCGTGGGTGCCCTGGTACGGCATGATCAGGCCCATTATCTAGTTGGGATGGATGCCTCCCGTGCTTGTCTGTCAGGAGATAATGTGAGAACATCCCTTGCATGTATCAGCCTGGTGCCCCGGCTGTGATAAAAGCCTTCCCCAGTAGGAGAGTGGGGGCCTGAGGAGGAGGGGGCATTTGGTTTAGGGGCCCAAGATGCTTACGAATCAGAAGGCAAAGTATTAGAAAATGAAGAAATCACTTTCTATAACAAGTTTTTAATCATGGTGGTGGTGGTGGGGAGGGGGTTGGAGGAAGGGAGCTCTGGTGATACAGTGGGTTACTCATTGGGCTGCTAAGTGCAAGGTCAGCAGTTCAAAACCACCAGCCGCTATGTAGGAGAAAGACTAGGCTTCCTGCTCCCGTAAAGAGTTATAGTCTCTGAAACCCATAGGGGCAGTTCTACCCTGTCCTATAAAGTTGCTGTGTCTCACAGTGGACTCGGGGCAGTAAGTTTGGGGTTTTTGTGGGTGGCGTGGGAGTGGGTGGAGTGTTGTGGGAACCCCCCACCCCCATTAGTTCTAGAATCAAGGAAACATTTATAAGAATGATTCTCTACCCCCTGCCCCTTACTGTTATTTCTTTTCTGTCCAGGAAATGTACAGGATCCAGATGAGCCCATTTTAGAATTCAGTTTAGGTAAGTATCTTATTACTACATTTTGTTTTTAAAAGATGTGACTTAAAAATAACCCCCACTGCCGGCCCGCATTTATCTCAAAGAACCTGCTGTTGCTGCCACCCCTGCCGACGCGTTTTCCCCAGACGCGGAAGCCCGGTGCAGGTGTGAACTTCCTGTCGGTGTGAAGAAGCCTCAGAGGCCAACTCCTGTCTGGGTGTGAGCTCGCGCCCGCCCAGAGCTGCCAGCAGACACAGTCCCCCATCACCTGCGAGCGAGGAGCAGGGCGGAGGGCTCAGAGCTGGGGCTTGGACTCAGCTTAGTCAGCTGGCTGCGTGCGTGCGTGTGTCTGTGTGGTTGAGTGTAGCTCTCTAGCCCTTGGCTCCCTGCTCCTGTGAAAGGGGCTGATGATGCCTGCCTGCCGGGAGGAGGACCGGCTGAACACACGCACTTAGAAATGCATTCCCGGGCGAGCTCAGGGATCTAGGAAGCGTGGCAGTACCGTGGTTTGCCATGGAGCTAGGAGAGCTGGGTGGGGCGCTGCCAGAGCCCAACACGATCCAGTGCCCCTCTGCCCCTGGCCTGCCCTCTTGGTGAAGGTCGGCATTGGCCAGTGGCCTGGCAGCTGTGTCCAGGGGGTGGTACCCCACGGGCAGTGAGATGAGTTGGGTGCCAGTCCCGACTCTCTCAAAGACTAACTGCATGGCCTTGAGCTGCCATTGAACCCTGCTAGAACAGTTTCCTCCTGTGTTGTGTGGGGGCATGGCTGTTTGTGTGAGAGGCCAAGAGGATGGTAGAGATTGAGGAGGGCGGGGGAGACAGAACTTTGACAAATTACAAGACTATAAAAAGGCAAGTGCTGCATTATTGTCAAATAAAAAACAGTAAATTCCAATATCAAATGAAATGATCTAAACCAATCCAGAGGGTAGCCCTACCACCTGGCCCTGGCCCTGCCCCTGTGGGTTTCCATGACTATAACTCCTCATGGGCGTAGAAAGCTTCATCTTTCTCCCAAGGAGTAGTTGGTGGTTTTGAACTGCTGACCTTGTAGTTGGCAGTCAACATGTAACTGGCTACACCACCAGGGCTCCGTTCTGAACATCTGAGCAAATAAATAGGAAGAGCCACACTAATTCCAAACGGTGAGGCACTTGGGGAACGCCCACAGCCTAGCCGGGAAGAAGGAAAGCAGATGGAGGACTGACTACTAATTAGGAGGGAGGAGAGTGGCCGCACTTACCTGTCTGTGAGGGTGATTTGTCCCAGAGGCCCCCGGGAGGCCAGGAAACCAAATAGAGGCTTCTCAGAAAGTTTCTATACGGAAGAGTTCGAGGTTACTATTCCCACCACACTCCTTCAAGTGTGAGAGCAGAAAGATGTTTCACCGCAACAGAGCCTCAACCCAAGTTACTCCCGCCGCCACCCTACACCCCCCATCCTTTCTGTGGGTGTCAGTGGAGGACCAGGGAGACGTGGGATCCAGGAAATGGAGAGTGTGTCAGGATGGCGCGTGTGTTTTCAGCCTACAGAGCAGCACTGAAATCAGAGCAGAGGTTAAAGGGAGTGGGGAGGGGACAGGCCAGTGTGGTTGGATCGGTTTCATTGAGAGAAATTATGATTTTGAGAAGCATGCCGTGCAAGCCCTGGAAGCACAGGCGGATCATGAAAGGATTGTCGAAACAAGCTGGAGGTGAACGGAGAACGCCCTGAGAACCCTAGCGTGTCACGGGCTCAGAAGTAATACTGTTAGCCCTCAAGTGGAATGGGGTTGACATATAGTTGAGCTGAAATGGTATTGAGCAGGAGAGAGGATGAAAGCCGGTATACTTAAGCTAAGACTCCTCATAATAAATAACAGGCCTTTTTGGAGTCCGATGACTTAAGAGCAGTAACATAATCATGTTGATTAAACAGATGGAGGCAACACTGGAGGAAGAGCATACTTTTTCATGTACATTAGCTATATTTAACACAGAAAATCTTAGCAGTAGAGAAAGCACACCTTGGAGTGATCGGCCATCTGAGGTCAAGAGGGCGCATGTAGCCCAGGGCAGAGTCGGAGTTCAGAAAGGAGGAGGGTTGGAGACAGACACCCCAGGGAGGATTGTCGCTCACTGCTCACTGTGGGACTGCGGTCAGTGACACGAAGTAAAAGGTGCACGGCTTGTTGAATGGAAAACTGATGTGTTCCGTAAATCTTCACCTGATTCACAATAAAAAAAGTTAAGAACAAATTAATTAAGAATGCCTTCTTGGAGAAAGAGAGAGAAGTCCTGGTGGTGTAGTGGTTACACCACCTGGGTTTTTAGTGGCTGTGATCCGAATGGTTGGCAGTTCAAAACCACTAGCAGCTCCACAGAGACTGGGCTTTCTACTCCCCTCAACAGTGACAGTCCCAGAAGCCCACATCAGCATTGACTCGATGGCAGTCCATTTTTTTTATTGGAGAGAGACCACATTTGATATTTTGGCATATATCCTTCCAGATCTTCACCACCACCCCCCAACCCCGTAGAGTACTGCTGTTCAGAAACTGTTAATGATTTTTGGTTGTGAAGATGATGGAATTATTTGCCCAAAAGAGTCATCATAATGTTTTCATGTGTGTTTCTTTTTTTTTTTTGCATGTAGTAGAATATCACTAGCATCTTTTCTTACTTAAAAGGTGAGATCTACCTTATGTTGGGTGCCCCCATAGGGTCTAGGGCAACGGTTCTCAACAAGTTCTCAACAAAGGGATCGTGACCCCTTTGGGGGTCTAACAACCCTTTCACAGGGGTCGCCAGATTCATCACAGTAGCAAAATGACAGTGATAAAGTAGCAACGAAAATAATTTCATGGTTTGGGGGTCACCACCACATGAGGAGCTGTAGTGAAGGGTCTCGGCTTTAGGAAGGTTGAGAACCGCTGGTCTAGAGAATGGTAGTATCATCCTTATTTTAACCAATCTCCTATTACTGACCAGTTAGGTTCGTCCATGCACCTTTCATTCCGTTTGCTCTTAGACATAAAACGACTGTCCATAGATTGTACCCCCTAGTTGACTCCTTGGGGTAAACTCTTAGATAGACGATCACTGCATCTTAAGATCCTTTTTGTTTTCTTCATTTTCTTTCCATCTTGCTTGTCCCACTAGATCTTCCTGTGCTCATTATTGGATCTTCCTACTGTCACCTCCTCTCTCCCCATCCTGCTTCTCCTTCCCTCTGTCCCGGCTGGTGGAGCCCTGGTCGGAGCGCAGTGGGTTACACGGCTGTCTGATAAAAACGTGTCTCTGTGGTTTAGTTTTCATAGACCTGCCTTCTTGCCTTAATTAGTTCATGGCTCAATGACACATTGAAGTCCAGTTTGAGGGGTTCAGATCCCCACAGGCTGTTTAAACCTCTGCCAGTAGTTAAGTTAGGGCATTGCCATTGGGGGCAGGAGGAGGAAGAAGCAGAGGTTGTTTGAAATGTATTTTAAATCGTCTCTCTGTGACAGCTGGTCTCCTCCTGTATGTTTCCGGAGCTTTCTTAGGAATAATGTAAGTACAGCCTAAAGGATCTCCTCCCCCGACCCCATCTTGATTTTGTAGCTTGCAGTGAGCTGCATACACCGTCGCTAGATCGAAAACCAAATAGTTTCGTAGCTGTGAGTGTCACCACCCCTCCTCAGGCCTTCTGGACGAAGCATGCGCAGACGGAGATCATTGAGGTGGGTGCCACCGGTTCTGTCCCCTGGGAGGGAGCCCAGGACACTCGGGCTGTGCTGGCTAGTCCCAGTGACATTCTTGTGACTGGCCGCCCTTTGTCCTGGGCTTCAGTCCATCAATACTGTTCCTGACCATTACTCATCTGGGCGACCTCTGTCAGCCATCCCCTTCACAATGAATTGATCCACTGATGGCAGGTTATTTTTGAACATGGAGCCTATGAGGTTCAAGGCCTCTTGATAGCTAAGACCTCCTTCTTCCTTGTCCTCTACACTGGGCTGTCCCTCTCAGAGCTTGTGCTCATTAATCGAAGCGTGGGGAAGGACTGACAGTGAATCAACCCCCGTAGCCAAACATGCTCCTTTTTTTAAAGCCTTAATCTTTACAGTCTTGGGAGTGAAGTGTTATGTGTTAATTTTTTACATTGAATTATATATATATTCACCAAGGGAATTTGACACAGTCCTGTTAGATAATTGAAGTGTTATGTAAGCTCCCTGAGCTGAGTGTAGGAGTTGATGGGGTGAGACCTGCAAAGGTGGGGTGGGGTGGGGGAAGGGGTCCTGTTTTCTTTCTCATGCGTGTGATTGTGAGCATCTCTGTGAATGATCCACACCCAATCGCAGTCACATACCCGCTCCTTCTCCCCCTCTTCCCCATCCCTCTAGAAGATAGACGAGCCTTTCCATCTCTCGGAAATTTGCTTCCGAGTTCGAGTTCACTGGTTGTGTTTTCTCAGCATTTGTTGAACCCTACCTATAGCTAGAGCAACCGGACAGGATCCAGAATCATCCCTGCCCTCACTGAGTTCACCAACATGGGGGGGGGGGCAGGGAGAACAGAGATGAATGTGGCCGCCCCCGGAGCCAGCAGGCTGTGGGATGTGTTAGAGAGCACCATGGGAACACAGGCGGGTGATATTTCGTCCCATTCCACAGTGGGGCTCGGGACTCTTGCAACTCACAAGCTCCCAGGGGACCCTGTGCCTCCAGTCTGGGACCACACATGGAAGAGCAAGGTCCTAGGGGACATGACGTCTGAGTGGGTTCGGGAGGATAGTCGGGTTCACAGGTAGACCTGATGAAAAAGACCTGCCTGGAGGGCCTTCCCAAATTCACATAACATGAGCCTGTAGACCTAGCTTGTGAGATGGAGTCATCTGCCGTGTCTGGGTCTGTAATCTGCAGACTCAAAAGTGTCAGGCTCCCATGCCTCTCTGCAAAGGTGGCTTTGGGTTGCACAAACCCATCTAAGCTACCGTTGCCATGTGCATGTGTGCAAGCTGGCCCAGTGCTCACGGCTAATTCTGGGAAAGCGGCTGCGCTCGATGCTGGTGAGTTTCTGATGACACCTGCGTTTTGTCTTCCTGCTCTAGGGAACCAACAACCCTATCTTCCTAAGCAGCATTGCCTTCTTCCAGGACTCGCTTATCAATCAGATGACACAGATCAAGCTCTCCGTGTACGATGTCAAAGATAGATCTCAGGGAACAGTTAAGTAGTCGGCGGAACTTTCTTTTCCTTTTTAGAAGCTTACATAATTGTGTGAGTGAGCGGTGAGCACGGTTGACTTCGGTTCTGGCTCTCAAATTGGGTAACGTCTAACTGTATTTGGGAATGTCTCTCTGAGCATCTGGGTTGGACTAACAATACAAGGGTCAGGTGCTCGGTGGGAGCCAGGCAGCCAGGCTCCCCTGGGATGTGGTCCTGGGACAGGAAGCCAAGTGAAAGCCCAAACCCTCCTGTTCTCTGCTGTCTCTTCCCCAGATGTACTTACTTGGCTCTGGAAACTTTATTGTCAAGGATCTGCTCCAGGACAAGCATCACAGGTTGCATTTAACACTAAGGTTAGTATTCCATTGTATTTGACCGGGTCTCAAATTCCAAGGTCAAGGGACAGATGAGCAAGGGACCTAACAAAGACACAAAATACCGAGGGCGCCCAGAAGCAGTTCTCGGGAGTGGGTGGTGGTCCATTGAGGCCAGAGGATCCTCCCAGCGTCCCAGGGGGCCTGCTAGGGAATGGAAATGCATGCCCCCCATGGGGAGCACACCTGCCCAGGAAAATGTCAGTACCTGTACCTGCAGGACAGGAACAAAGCACGGGCCTCTCCTCTGCGCTTTTCCAGGAGAGCGAGCTCTCCCCAGGGCAGAGCTTTCTGTCTGTCTGTCTGTCTCCATTGCTCGGTCTCAGGGCCTGGCTCATACCAGCTGCTCAGTGAATAGCTGTTGAAGAGATTAATGAACGTCTGCGGCACCCCCACTGTGTCCCCAGTGGGAGGGGGACAGACGACAAGTCATCAGCCCTTCCCAAGTTCATTGTAGGGGCACTTGCCATCACCGTCCTGATTGGCGTTTTAGCCTCAAGATGATTTAAACTTGGAGCCCTCTGTCATGGGGGTGGGGTGGGTGGGTGGGGGAATAGTCTAAAACCGCAAAGAAAATGTTGATGAAGAAGAGTAATTCCCTGCTCGCCATTAAGGGCTGAAGCTACAGCGATGGCCATGTGAGGGTGCTGCTGACCGATCAGGGGCAGGAGAGAAAGAACCCTGTAGCCATCCTTACTGTGGGTGCAGAACTGGTCCCATTTATGATGGGGGGGGGGGGCGAGGGGCAGCATGGACCCATCAGCTATTTGGGGTAAATATCCGGCTTTGTCATACTGTCATACACCAGAGCGAACTCCTCTGGATTGGAGTAGAATGTAAGGACCGGGCATCCTTCCTTTTTAAAAGGAGCTAATGTCGACTGCTGAGAAACTCATGGCATGGGAAAGGACATTTCCTGGACGAGAACCAGGGCTTGGATGGGCTCACTCCTGTTTGAGCCCTGTGAGCATTTGCTTTCCCCCCAAAGAGACGCTGAATGGGAAGCTACAGGTGTCCCCAGCTCCCCAAGGTCATTCTTAAGTCTACAGGAGACTCATCTAGGGGTGCATGAACCTGCATGCTGATTCAGTATTCTCTGCAAGGGATTAAACCAGAATGAACTGGTTTGAAGGCCCCCTCCACCCTCCTCGCCGGAAGGAAACCCTAGGGGGTCTCAGTTTACTCTGGGGTCCAGGCCTACACCTTGGGGATAATCAGAGCCTGGGCTAAGCAGGGGGAGGGCCGGAAAGGGGTCCCAGGCCAGGATAGGCCACGCCCAGCTCTAATTCTGAGAGGCTTCCTTCCTTATCACTCTGGGGTGTGGGCAGGCCCAGGAACTCCGGGCAGCTCTGCCGCAAGCTTTGCCTCCCCCAGGAGCCAAGTAGACTCAGGTGTGTGTTCCCCTCGAGACACAACCCTTCCGCCATGCTCCCCTAGAGCCTGGGCATCAGCGAGGCCTGGGCGACTGACTGGCCACTTGGCTGGGTGGGTGCTCCGGGGCCCCTTGATGCCCCAGGATGACCGAGCCCAGTCGCGAAGCTGCTCCTGAAAGCCCCTGCTCGTTGCAGGTCTGCAGAGAGTGACCGCGTGGGTAACATCACCGTGATAGGCTGGCAGATGGATGAGAAGTCTGACCAGCGGGCCCCCGTGACCCGGTCTGTGGACACCGTCAATGGGCGGGTGAGCGCTCCGCCCTTCTCCCCTGCTGTAGAAAGAGTGAGAGACCTGGCTGCATGCCTGAGCCTGGGGGCTGCTGGGTGTGGCCCCAGCAGCACGTGTTCCAGTTCTCCCCACTCCACCTCCAAGTGTAAAGCCTGCTGCTTCCTCAGGCAGGGGTGCCCAGCCTCGAGGGGCAGTGCCCAGGAGCCAGCCATCTCTGGGAAGCACGGCGGTCAGCCCTGGAGCAGTGCCCTATGGGGGTCTGCAATCAGGAACATGAAAATTATCATATATTGTTAATGTTATACACACACACACACACACACACACACACTCCCCCAGTGCCTTCACACCTACCCTACTTCCACACCCCCACACCCCCCATACACCACCACCTTTCTCTCGCCCTCCCTCTCCCCTGCTTACACACTCCACACCCCATTCTCCTGCCTGGCCTCACCCACGGACACTCTTAGACACTCTGCCATTGATGTAAAATGCCCAGCTATCTCATTTTGCTCGAAGATGCACGGGCAGTTGGCGCCGGAAGCAGTCTGTCTTCCCCTTCCTGCCTCTCCGTGGTCCACCTCGGAGCACCAAAGCCCGAGGTGAAGTGACGAGCGAGCGGGTGACAAAGATGCACTTTCAGACAAACTAATCGTAGGGGATACTGTCTGTATCTGCCGGGAGGTGAATGAATGCGTCCGATGACTGGGTAAGCATGTAATGGTAGATACTGATTCAAAGAGTTCTTTCAGGATGTCTGGCGTGTGGTCACGAGTTGAACTACTAACTGCAAAGTCAGCAGTTCAAAACCACCAGCCGCACCTGGGGAGAAAGACAGGGCTTTCTACTCCCGCAAAGAGTTATTATAGTCTTGGAAACTCACAGGGGCAGTTCTACCCTGTCCTGTAGGGTCACTGCGAGTCGACATCGACTCCGTGGCAGTGAATTAGAGAAGTTCTTCTTTTTGGTGATGTATTCGGGAGTCCTGGTGCTGTACTAGATTATGATGTGTGGGCTGCTGAACTCGAGGATAGCAGTTCGCACCCCGCAGGCACTCTGAGGGAGAAGAAAGACGGGGCTCTGCTCCAGTGAAGACTCACGCTTTGGGTGGAAGCCACAGGGCACTGTGGCATGCAGGGTCAGTCCGGGCCGGAATGGGCTCCATGTCCAGGGTTGGTTGTTGGAATGTGTTCAGGCCACCCTTCTGCCTGCTGCTCTGGGGCGGCCCCAGCCTCACAGGAGCCTCGTGTTTTTCTTACACGCTGCTAGATGGTCCTGCCTGTGGACGAAAGCTTGACCGAGTCCCTGGGGATCCGATCCAAGTATGCTTCCTTGCGAAAAGACGCTTTGCTGAAGTCGGGTAAGCAGCTTCATCTGCTGGGGCTCCTGCCATTCTCGGTGTGTCCCGGGAGGCCAGGCCCCCTTCCCTTCCCGGCGGTGGCAGGCTGTGCCCTCCTCCTCCACCAGCTCTCTAAAACCTCGGTGATGCTCAGAAGAAGGTCCTGTATGTTCTTTCCACGTCGGCCTGTCCCTCATCCACCCCCGGGCCCGAGGGACAGAATGGAAGCTCGCCAGGGGGTTTCCCAGGCTGTAATCTTCCCAGGACTTGCAGGACCTGGACAGGACAAAGGGGGACGGCTCCTTGGGTTTCCATATGGGAGCAGACAGCCTCCTTTCTCTCCCATGGAGCAGCCGGTGGGTTGAACCTCCAACCTTTCAGCAGTCCAGTGTGCCACGCAGGTTGGCCCTGCTGTTTGGGGCTTCGTGATCCATCCAAGAGGACCCTTGGTGGTACCGTGGTTCTGAGTTGGCTACCAAGCCCAAGGTCAGCAGTTAGACACCCCCAGCCAGCACCACAGGGGAGAGGTGGGGCTTTCTGCTCTCATCAAGCACTGCTGTCCCAGGAGATGCACGGGGGCAGTTCTGCCGAGTCTTGTGAGCGCTGTGAGCCAGCCTGCATGCAGGGCAGTGAGTGAGGGGGTCTTTACAGGAGCAGGGTGCCAGGCTTCCTCCTGTGGCGCTGCATAGCCGGGTTTGAACCGCCAGTTTTGCTTAGCGGCAGGGTACTTGACCACTAAGGCTCCCCACCCTCCCCCCACCCCCCACCCCCGTCTGCCTCTTGGACTTTGGTTTGGTGGCCTGGGGCCAGAAGATGGCAGGTCCCAGGGAGAAACATTTCCGGGTCGGTCCCCTGTGGTGGGTTGGGGCGTCGAGGTTTTGATTGCCTTGAACTGAATGGTAAGAAGACTAGAGGGTGTTTATGTGATTTGCGGGCCAGGAGAGGGGGGTGGCCCGGAGGCGATTGTCCAGCCAGCTCCCCCAGCACAACCACTGCCCCTCCCGCAGTGTTCGGCGGCGCCATCTGCCGCATGTACCGGTTCCCGACCACGGACGGCAACCACCTGCGGATCCTGGAGCAGATGGGGGAGAGCGTGCTCTCCCTGCACGTGCCCCGGCAGTTCGTGAAGCTCCTGCTGGAGGAAGACGCCGCCAGGTGAGGCCCCGCCCTCCTCGAAGGCGCAGATGTGCTGGGCAGGCCTGCTGCAAAGCCAGCCGCCAACACTTGCCAGCGCTGTGGCCCTGGCTTGTGCCAACCTTGCTTTCTGGCCTGGGGTCACGGGCTCCTGTATGTGCTGCAGGAGGGGTGCTCCCGCCGGTCCCTCCTGCCTCTTTTCTGCCTCCTTTGAGACGTTAGAAGTTGCGGCCATTCCCCACGACAGCTCTGCCCGTCGCTGATTTCCCAGGCTGGGGCACCGCACTGTCTCGCCACTTCCGGGGGCCACGGATCCCGACTCATGGCGCCCCTGGGGGACAGGGCAGAACAGCCCCTGTGGGTGGCCGACACTGCAGCTCATGCCCGGGGTAGAGAGTAGCCTCTGTCTTCCGTGGAGCAGGCTGGTGGTTTCGAACCTACTGACCCTGTGGATTGTGCTGAGGGTTCCAGAAGACTGCGTGTGGCGTGTGAGGGCATGGCGGCCCCTTGTCCAGCGAAGCCGGAAGGCCCTCCACATCTCTGCTCTCAGAACGTGCTTCTGTTGCTTCCTAGCCAGGAGGAAGGCGTGCGTGTGTGTGTGTTGCTGCTGCAGGCTGACCCTGCCCCGGGCAGGCTGACATTGCTGCTCCTCGTTGTGGGACACGTTCCATGATCAGCGCACTCCGGCGGAAGCGTGAAGGGAAAGGAGACCTCTGGGGTCCTGCTGTCTTCAGACGGCTGTTTGCCGAACTTTTTTTCTTAATATATTGCAAGAACAATGCAATGTGCCCCCACGCAGACCCGCCAGTTACTCAGCCTTGGGTGCTCTGTCGCACCCCACTTATGCCAGCGTGCTGTGTCGTTGGTTTAAGGTTCCCTCTCAGCTTTGTCTACACCTGGCTGTGCAGAGGGGCTTCGGAAAGTTGGAGGGGAAGGGGGCTAAGGAGGTCATGGGAATTTCCCACAGGCCTTTCGTGAAGCCCCCTTCTGTTTACGTCGCTCCCGGTTGCCTTGGAACCTATTTCTGACTCGGGTGTGTCGGAGTAGAACTAACCATGCCCCTCAGTGCCCACTCCACGGTGGGCAGCACCAGGGCCCATAGACTGAAGACAAACAGGTGTCCATCCTTCTTCTCTTCTGACAGGGGTGGGGCAGGCAGCCTTCACCACATGCAAATGGGAGGAGCTCCTGGCAGCCTCCCAGGGGAGGGGAGGCGAGCAGGACCTGGACCCTGAGTCAGTGCTGCGTGGCCTGTTGTGGCAGAGCCTTTGCCCTGTGGCCGCTCGCTCCCCCTTGTGTTCCCTGCACATCTGACAATGGAAAGTGGCCCCACACCCTTCTCCCTTGGTCCCTTCTACCTCTCTCACAGCCTTTTCCTCCCAGAGCTGTGGGTCCTCCTGCCCACTGGCTGCCCTGCTGGCTGGCACTGCAGTCTAGCTCGGCCTTCCCAGGCACCAGCATGCCCCCATGGGCCTTCTAGCCTCCTCTGGCTCCACAGCCTGATGTGTGTGTGTGTGTGTGTGTTGCTTTTAGAGTGTGTGAACTGGAGGAACTGGGGGAGCTGTCGCCTTGCTGGGAGAGCCTCCGGCGCCAGATCGTCACCCAGTACCAGACCATCATCCTCACGTACCAGGAGAACCTGACCGACCTCCACCAGTACAAAGGTGGGCACTGTATCATCCCTGCGCTCCCATTCCCAGGTCGCGGAGGCCCCCGTGGCAGTATCAGTAATGTCGCGTGCAGGGTGACCTGCACCCAACTCTAGCGTGTATCTCAGAGGAAGGACAGCCAGAAGGCTCTTCTGAAGCAAGCGTGGGCTGCGTCTCACGGGCTTCGGACGTGCAGTCGGGAGAGGAAGTCGCTATGAAAGAGCATCACGCTCGGGAAGGCAGGGGGGCAGCTAACACTCAGCCGGACCGACGGGATGGCTCAAACCTAACAACAGCCGGCTCTGGACCGGGCGGCATTGCGTTCTGCTGTGCACAGGGGCCTCCTCAAGGGGGAACCGCCTCCGGGCACCTACCAGGAGCAGCCAGGATGAGAAGGGCAGATCTGTGAGCACCGCCCCAAACCAGGCTTTCCTCCGGGCCGTCTCCCAGGACAGCCGCTGTGCAGTGAGCGCGGAGAGAGCCTCGTTCACAGGGCAGCGGCCGGCACTGTGTGTTCACCGTGGTAGAAAAGCACTGGGGAGACCAGGCTGCCGTCTGAACACCTGGCAGTACTGGTACAGTACATGCAGGCTGTCTGAGTGGGCCGGAGCCGCTCAGGACTCACCAAAAGAAAGTTGGGTGCAGGCGCCTCCCTTTTGACCTTGGAGGACGCAGGCCAGGGTGCTCTCGGGTTCCCTGGAGCAGATCATTCCTAACTAGGCCCCTTCGGATGGCCAGTGGAACAATTTTTAGGGGGATGAGAGGGGTCATTACTTTATTGCATGCGTCAGCAGTCCAACTAGGTATCTGGGTATAGAGTCTTCCCTCCTCCCTCTCCCTAGCAAGGGATTTTTGGGGTAGGAAACTCGCCAGCCCCTCCTGCAGCTTTGACACAGCATGGGAAGCTGCCCACGAGCTGTGACCCGAAGGAGCCAGGTACAGATTTGAATGCAAAGAATGAGCCTCAGATAAAATCGCACCATTTACTGGAGACACTGCTGGATAACGGATGCCCGGCAAAGTCGGGGACCGACACAGCCTAGAGTTTCCTGGAGGCAAGCTGCTGCATTCCTCCGTTCCTCCTCGGGAACCCTGTCTCTCACAGGTGCCCTGGCTGCGGCACCCTCCTGCCGGTGGACCACACTCCCAGGTGTCGGGCTTGGAGAACAATCTCCATCCCAAAGCAAAGCAAACAACTTCCGATCTGCGTCGCCTTATTCACTCGTCAGCACGTTCGATTTCTTTCCCTTCTGACGGTCGGTTCATTTTTGAGTCTTTCCTGTCGCACGTGTGGTTCTTCTTGTAACGAGTGGTCTGGATTCTGATACGAGAAACCAGACTGTGGATCGACCATAAGAAGCATTATCCAGCTTCCTGCTGTCAAATGCCATCACAGCCGCGGCATGTTCAACAGAAGGGAACACGTGCCAGCCCTGCACCCTCCTCTCTGTTGTTCCCTTATTTGAGCCCAGTGTTGTAGTCATGGTGTCGACCCACCCGCCCACCCATCGAGGATCTTCCTCTGTTTCGTTGACCTCTCGTTGACCAAGCGTGGCCTCCTGAAGGAACGTCTCCCTTCTGGTGATGCGCCCAGGGGATGGGAGATGAAGGGCTAACACCGTCTAAGGAGCGTTCTGAGTGTACGCCTGGGCTTGGTCTTCTGGCGGCCCATGGTGCACTAGTATTCCTCGCCACCACCACAACTCAGACACCAGTTTCCTCCTGTCTTCCTCATCCTCGCCACTGTCACCTGCGTGTGAGGGACTGGAAATCCCTGGCTGGTGCCGGGTGCCCCTTCCTCCTCCAGATGACCTCTTTAGTTTTATTTTATTGTCCACACTTTGAAGGTCTTTTAGCAGCAGATTTCCCAGTGTTGTATGCCATTTGCTTTCCAAGAGCATTGTTGGTGGAGCCAAGTAAAATGAAATTCTCGACAAGGTTGGGATTTTCCCATTCATCATGAGGGGCACCGATGTCGCTGTGAGGATTCGTGTGCATGGTGCCTGTAATAGTCTAGGTACTTTGGAGAAACAAATTCACAGCAACTCATGTATAAGAGAGAGTTTTATGTAAAGAAAGTATGCATCACGAAAACATCCCAACCCAATACTGTCCAAGCCCACAAGTCCAACATTAACCCATTAACCCAACACCAGTCCACAAAGTCCTCCACCTCACAAAACAGAGGCAATGATGCCGACTGCAGGAGGAAAGCTGAGTCAGTGAATGAACAAGCATCTCAGCACCAGCAGGGGTCTCCACAGGGCTGCTCCAGCACCCAGGGCTGCATCGGGATAGGTCCATGCGGCTTCTCCTTGGGGATGTTTTGTAGGAAGTCAATCTTGCAAGCTGAAGCAGGGAACTGCTAAGGCAGCTGCACCCGGTGCAACCATCACAAAGCAAGAGACCCGAGAACTAGAAAGGCGAGGCTCACCACCCATTTATCCCTCCGCCTTTCAATTAGCTCCACATGTGATTATCGGCCAGGTTGGCACAATTAACTAACTCAGTGCCCCTCACTCTTGGGGCCAGATGCTTCCAGTATGCTTTAAGCAGGGGTGTCACCCACCGTTGGCAGGTTGTTACGCATCTTCCTCCAATCCGAATGCTGTGTTCCTCGTAGTCCAACTTCTTGCATTATTTGAACGGCGAACAGATGAAAGGATACAACCCTGACACACAGTATCCCTTTGTCCCATTCAAAAGACTGCCTCAGTCCCTGTACAGTTCCTCTGTGAGCACGGTGGATTCTACAAAGACATTGCTCCGTGTGATTCACGTAAAAACCAGAACAAAGCGATGGCCGACATTGTGAAGAATGGGGATTCCAGAGCACTCGCATGTCCCTAGAACTGACGGGGCCAACACGGGAAGCACATGGGAGTCTGGCAGAACCGGTGCTGTGTAGCGTGTGCGTCCTGGGCAACCTGGCACCGAGCGCAGCTCTTCTTGTTTCTTAGCGCTGAGATGTGCCGCCCCGGTGGAGCTGGCTTTGTCCGCGTTGGCCGGTGGCCGTCTGCACAGCTGGACGAGGAGGCCTCTGCCAGGGACCCGTTGGCGTTTCATAGGGTGCCGGCATCACAGGGCATGGACGACACCACGCCCCCGTGTCGGAGCTCTCTGCGGGGCGCTCAAGGGAAGGTGGGAACCATCGCTATCATGCACTGAGGCCCGTTTTTTCCTTCATCTGAGAGTCCCAAGCCAGGCTCCGGGCCAGCAAACTGCCCAGCTTTGAGGATTTTGCCCACCCGCCATCTGGCAAAGAAACGTCATCTTGGACAGCTCAGGGTTCTCTCGACCGCTCCCCACCCGGCTCTGGTCACCATCCTCCTCAGAATGCCCTCTTTCTTGCCACCACTCATGTACCTCGTGTTTGCAAAGCGTGCCTTGATGACCTTTCCCCCCATGTTCCGTTTCTTAGGTCCCTCATTCAAAGCCAGCAGTTTGAAAGCAGACAAAAAGTTAGAATTTGTTCCCACAAACTTGCACATCCAAAGGATGAGAGTTCAAGATGATGGAGGATCAGGTAAAGCTGTTTCTTCGCTCTTTCTGAATCTGCATCTGGCTCTGCTCTGTCTGGGTCCTTGGTCTCAAGCTGCAGGCCAGTGCGGGTAAGAGACGGGTGAGAGGGTCTCTTGAGAGGATGCAGACCCTGCCCTTTGTCCCCCGCCGCCCCCCACCGCCCCTGGCTTCCCTTTATCTTTCTGTCACAGGCAGATGCCCACCACTTGTGCTTCCAGTAGGGAGGTTGCATAGTTTTCACAGCTCTGGTGGCTCTAGCATAGTGGATTGTTTGTTGGGCTGTTAACCACAGAGTCGGCAGTTCGAAATCGCTAGCCACTCAGAGGGAGATAGAAGAGGCTCTCTGGGGCCACAAAGAGTTATGGTCTCGGAAACCCCTAGAGGCGGTTCTGCTCTGCCCTGGAGGGTTGCTTTGAGTTGGAAACGACTCCCTGGCAGAGCAGTTGGTTTGGTACTTGGGTGGAGTGGGTTATTCTCGTGGGGCTGTTAACCCCAAGGACAGTGGTTCAAACCTACCATTCGCTCAGGGAAGAAAGATGAGGCTCTCTGCTCCCGTAAAGATTTACAGCTTCACAAACCCAGGGGGAAGGTCTACTCTGCCCTATCGGAGAGAGGCAAGGAGTTGGGAGCGACTCTTTTACCTCTTGTTGGCTCTACCTGCAGACCTCCAGGACTCCCTGAGATGTTGGTGCTGGGTCCAGCAAGCCCTTGGGCAGCCCAGGCTGTGGAGTTAGTCCAGGGACCCCGGGGCTGCTTGTGGAAGGGCTGCTGGGGCAGGCACCTAGACGTGTGTGCATATCCCTGTAGCTGGCTCGTCCACAGGCCCGAGCCCAGAGTAATGGAGGAGAGCTTTCTGTCATTCAGATCAGAACTACGACATCGTCACCATCGGAGCCCCAGCGGCACACTGCCAAGGTTTTAAGTCGGGAGGCCTCCGCAAAAAGCTGCACAAATTTGAAGAGACCAAGAAACAGTAAGTAGCTGGAGCGGGTCGTGGCCTCTGCACAGCTGTGTGACGCCTCCCAGAGGTTGTGCTTTTAAAAAAGCCAATCCAACTATGGCCGTGTCAGCACCCAGCCACTCCAGTCTGCTTGGGCCTGGTGGGAAGAGCTGCCTTACGGAGGCTGTGCCGCTTGTGTGTGTGTGTGTGTGTGTGTGTGTGTGAGAGAGAGAGAGAGAGAGAGGTGTCACGCACTGCACGGGTGATAAAGTCACCAAGCCGGTGGTCCCTCTTTTCCAAAATGAATAGCAAACCCTGTTAGCGGGAATCTCTACTCCACCTTTAGGGTGGGGCTTCCTTCTTTAGGCACCACAGCAGTGTAACAGATTGCATGCTTTCCAGAAACGGTAAGCATTCCTAGTTTCAAAAAGACCCGGTGGGCCGCACTGAGCTCAGTGCAGGGCAGGAAACGGCACCTGAGAACAGGGCAGTGCCGCAGGCCATGCTGGGTGGTGAGGTGCAGCCAGGTGCACAGTGCTTTGGGGGCGAGGGGCTAAGAGCGAGAGGCATCCTCACTGCCCACCTGCTCTGAGCTGGAAAGCAGACCCCGGCTGGATCTGGGAGGCCAGCAAAAGTTCAGGTGCTGTGGCCCATCCATGGGGCGATGGGCTCCAGAGTGCGAGGCTGGGTGGGAGCAGCAGAGGGGAAGAGAGCTCCTGGTGCAGGGCGTATCAGAGTTATGGGGAGCCTGCAGCAGGCCGGCCCGGGACCCCAGAGCAGGGCTGGTTAGGAGAAGGAAGGCCAGCCGCCAGAGCAGCACAGCACTAAGACAGATGCCCAGAGAGCCTGCTGGCCAGAATCATCCCACCACATGCGCCAAGGACACTGCCTACAGAAGGCCTGCCGGATGCACCGGTTCCAGGGGTCCCAGGAAAATATTGTCCCCCCCACTGCCCCGCCCAGCCAGAACGTGTGTGTTTGTGTGTGTGTGTGCAGTGCCCTTGCACATGGTGTGTGGGAAGTGTAAGTGTGATTTGAAGGAGGTGTGTAGACCATACTCCCCTGGGGCCCCGAGGGGAGAGAGAAAGCTCCTTAATTTCTGTGCAGCCAAGGAAGGGTGGGGCCACCTGGTTGTCTTTGTGCCTATCCCTAGAGGGTCGGGCACACTTATATTTGATTAATCTTCATATTAAAGAAAAAAGCCATCCAGAATATTAATCTGTGCATTTAGCAGAATGCCTCGTTAGTGCTTTTCAAGTATTTAGGGTAAATGTGTAAATTTCATTTGCTATAAATGGCATCAAATCACTTGCAGATAATGGCTTGCACCATTCAAAGCCTCCCTTAAACGTGGGTGCCACTTGCTCACAAGCAGGCCGTGCTGGGGCTCCAATGAGCACACATGCTTATCCCTTTAATCATCCCTGTAGCCGGGAGTTCGGAACATAATCTTCAGTCTCTTGACAAATTTTTTTTTAATAAAAACCCACTTGGCCCCCCGTTTATGGTGGTCTGTTTCTGCTGCGTTTGGTGCTGGCTAACACACTGCTCATCTTTCCTTCTGGTTCTTTCCTGTAGCAGTTTTGAGGAGTGTTGGTGAGTTTTCTGTCTGTGGAGAGTGTGTCTGGTGTCCTTGTTCGCCTGCCTGCACAGCCTGCTGGGCCCCCTTCCCCTGGCAGTGCTGCCTCCACAGTGCCGAGGCGGGCGGGCTCCTGGCTCACACGCCCGGTGGGCAAACCCTTCCCTTCCACCTGCAATGCCCTTTGTTGGTGACTAGCTCCTCGCCAGCTGCTGCTGTACAAGCAGGCTGCAGTGTGATGCTGCGCTCACTCTCAGAGGAGGGGGAGGAGTGCGGCCCAGAAGCGGGGTGTGCTATGCAGCCCATTGGCACCACTGGGAATTCCTTTCCACCTTCCTTGAGAAGAATCCTGGGGCTTTTCATTCCTCACCTCCTCACCGTCATTTCTTGGGTGACGTCAGCTCACACTTGGAGGATACTTGCTCCTTTATGCAGATTTTAAAAAATTATTAAAAGATCATTTTATTGGGGGCTCCTACAGCTCTTAAAATAATCCATACATCAATTATATCGAGCATATGTGTACATAGGTGGCCATCATTATTTTCTAAACATTTACTTTCTCGTGAGCCCTTGGTATCATCTCCTCTTTTATGCAGGTATTTAGACCAGTGTTACTGGAGTCAGTTGTACCCCTGGAAGCCAAACCAAGGATTAATATAATGGTGTGCTGTTTTTTCTTTCACCCCCAGCAAAGAATCAGGTGGCAGCCTAGGGGTCCCCACTATTGCCTCAGCTTTCCCTAGCCTGACCCAAAGCGCTTGCCCAGGTCGACAACCCGGGGATCTGCATAAAGCCTGGGGACAGGCATTGGAAGGACCCCTGGTTCCCCAGGAACTGCTGTTGCCATGTTCCCCATACAGCTGTGAGGTGTCTGGCCTCTGGGGGCCCGTCCGAGGTGGAGCGGTCCTGAGGAGGCAGCCCCTCCCTGGAGACAGAGACCCATTCACCCAGAGGGAGCCCTTCCCCCAGGGGAGGGAGACGGCCGTCTGGGGAGAGTGGCAGCTGCCCCTGACGCCATGATGGGGAAGCCCAAGCTGCTTCTGTGGCTGGGACCTGGGCAGGCTCCCTGCTGCCATTCTCGTCTCTCTGGCGCCCACGGACAGGCTCTCTGGCAGGACTTAGACAGTACGGAGGGGATACTTCTAGAGGCCACAGGGAAACGGCCAGTGGGACAGGGAGCGCTAAAGGCCCAGCTGCCCTAAGCTCTCCGCCTTGGTAAACAGCAGCCCAGATACTGTTGGCTGACTCTTTTCTAGAAAGTTCTTAGAAATCAACCGTCCTCGGGTCCCCTCTTCCCTAGCCCAGTCTGGCCGTTGTTACTCCCACTCCATGCTCCCTGACAGACACACAGGCATAGCTGGGACAGATGGGGGAGGGTGATGTCGTTTCCACCTGGGGGACCCGAGGGCCTCCTCGTCCCAGCCCTGTGCCCGGCCAGCTCCTCTTCTGCCAGCCGCGGCAGGGGCAGTGCTGCTTCACAGCAGCCCCAGCCCTTCCCGGCCGTGACCTGCCAGCGCCACCCTCCAGCCACACGATCCCAGCTCTCATGGGGCCTGGGTGGGGGCTGAATGCAGGCCCGTGGACTGTGCACAGGACTTCACCTACCCTGTGGAGCTGCTGGGCACACAGGACGGTGTGTGGTACCCAGCAGCTCTCTTTCCTGGAGTCGAGCCTTCCTGGGACTGTCTTGCTGTGAAGCAGCAAGGTGTCTGTACCCCACGTGCCCCGCCGCCCTCTTGTGGCCACCCTGTTTTCAGAACTAGGTAGTGGAGCACACTGCTTGTGTCCATCACCGTCCCTGAGCCCCCATGTCCTTCTCAGTCCTCCCGCGTACTTCACCTGCTGGGTGCCCCGATGGTCTTAGAGCACGGCCTGTGGCACGCAGGCGACGGGGAGTGACCTGTAAAACACTCGCTTGTGACATCGCCTATTGCAAACAAGCCCTGCTGCCTGCCTGCACTGGCCGCTCTTCATTGGAAAGGCAATTGCAGGTTGGAATGTCGCCCGGGACACCATGCGGGCTCGCTGGCCGCTGCTGCATGGGCTTCTGGCAGACCCATTGTTTTCTATTGTGGCGTTGTGCTGTTTGTCTCCCTTGGGGTGCTTTGGTTTTCTGTGTTTGCATGTTTGCCCCAAAGTCTGAGAAGGGCAGGGGCGGTCCCCTGGTGAACCCTCCTGAGTGTGGTGACCCTCCGGCAGCTCTGGTGGAACCAGGGAGAGTGTGGTCAGAGGTACCATCACCCTTTACCTTCTCCCTTGTCCCCCTGAACTCTCATGAGAGTTCTCCGCAGGGACTGGTCATACCTCTGACCCAGAGTTCACAGCCAGCTTATACTTCTTCCTGCTCTGATAGGCACCCTCAGGCGACCTTAACAATAAGTGGCCACCTTGAACTGACTTGGGATCGGATGCTAAGAAGCATGCCGTTTCTATCTCTGTCAAGTCGGGCCAGCATGGCTGCCAAGGCCCGCTCAGCGGGAGTGGGTGGGCTCGGTTCCCCAGAGGCTTCTCTTCATGGCTGGGCCCGAGCTCTGGACTCAGGGCCTTGGACACATGTGCTGCTTGGTGCTGACGGGCAGGAGGAAGGCTAGGGTGCCCCAGCTGTCGAATGTTGGAGTCTCTCCTCTGATTGGGCCCTTTGTCCACCTCCCTTTCACCTCACGAAGGGGAGAGGACCTGGGGCAGGGAGGAGGCACCAGAAGCCCAGTTTTCTGGGCACATGATGGGGTCAGACATGGGGAGGACACAGCCAGTGTCCTGACTGGCCCAATGACAAACCAGAGCCACCTTTTGATGAAACCCAAGAAGAACCTGGCCCCTTCCGGCATAAGCAGACCCCATGTCTCCATTTAAGAGCTATTTACAAGCTGAGAGATGGGATTCTTAGGTCAAAGATTCTGAGCATGTGGGTAATTACTGGATACGATGGTTCAGTGTCTGTACATCATACACATCCCACAGCACAGCTGTGGGTCCCCATGAATCTACACCAAGGGCTTGGCATTTCTGCTTCAAGGCCCTAAGCTTCCATGGAGACAGAAAGGACCCCGAGGATGCCCTCTTACCCACCAGCAATCACGGCACCCAGGAAGCTGAACTTCAGGGTCCGTCATGGGAAGAGGATGGGAGAACGCTGTGAGCCACTGACTCAGTGGAACCCCTTAGAGTCTACTCTTATCCCTTCTAGTGCGTCGCCCATCTGCCAGTCCATTGTCTACATACCGCAGGACATCGTCCGAGCAAAGGAGATTATCGCCCAGATCAACACTCTGAAAACCCAAGTTAGTTACTATGCAGAGCGGCTCTCGAGGGCCGCGAAGGACAGGTCCGCCACTGGCCTCGAGAGGACCCTTGCCATCTTGGCAGATAAGGTAGGAGGGGCCACCCTGCTCTGTGGTGGTGTGGGATGGGGCTCCCTTGGACTACAGGGAGCCACTGGATGCCCCTGGCAGCCCTGGCTAGTGTGCTGACAGTTGTCCTCAAAGAGGGTCGACATTGACATGACCTTGAAAACTGAGCTGCTGGGATGCTTGGTGTTTTGCCTTAATCCCAGAGCTGCAAGGGCACAGGCCAAGGACAGGCCTAAGACAGGCCTCTCAGCCATGGCCACGTACAAGCCCACAGGGGCCAGTTTGTGAGACTCCACCACACGCGGAGCACGGCCACCAAGGGGATTCTGATGTCTGCGACCTTATAGGACAGAGCAGAGCGGGCTGCAGGGTTTCTGAGACCAAATCTGTGTGGGAGTAGATAGCCTCATCTTCCTCTGCCGGAGAGACTGGTGGGTTTGAACCACCAACCTTTAGGTTAGCACCCAGCGTGTAAACTCGGAACCCCACCAGGCTCTTGCCTCTTCCATGTAGTTCTTCGGACTCATCTACTCGGCAGGTTGCTGGAGGCATTTCGGTTGTGCTTGGAATGTGAAAGCGCATACCCACACAAACTTACAGAAGCACCAGACAGGAATGACATCACTCTATTGATGTTTATATCATCAGTAAACGAACTTCCAAGAGGCCTCCTGGCGCAATGGCCAAGGGAAAGGTCAGCAGTTCAAACCCACCTGCAGCTCTGGGGGGGGGGGGGACCTGGAAACTGACTCCCACGATTCCAGAAAGCCAGACTGGCTGCCATTGAGTGGATGCTGACTTGTGGCAACTCCCCTCGTGTGTGTCCAAGACCATCTGAACTGGTTATGGGAGTAGAAAGCTCCATCTTTCTCCTGCAGAGCAGCTGGTGGGTTCGAACTACTGTCCTTGTGGTTCGCAGCCCCACTCATAAGCACTACTCCACCAGGGCTCCATAGAACCCGATGCATACGGAATCCCCCTGACCCCGAAAAGATGTGCCAGGAACCTAGGCACTGGAGTCCAGGGCTTTAGGTATGAGGTGCCAAAGTGCAAAAAGATGAAAGGGAGGTTTGAGGACCACCCCGGTAGTTGCCAAAGCTGGGAATTAGCGGGGTCTCTTCAGGTCTATCCCTAGTAATAGCAGGCCAGAGCGCGTCTGGGCACAAAGTCAGAGAAGGTGTCGTGTCCCCACATTGTTCTGTGCTCCTCAGTTTTCGTGGTGGGGATTTCTTTTTCTCATCAGTTACCTGATTCATTGTGTGTGTGTGAAAATGTACCCGGCAAAGCATATCAATTCAATTAATACCTACACGTGCAACTGAGTAGCGCAGATCGCCTTTTCGAGTTGTACAACCACTCTATTCTTTTCCAAATATGCCTGCCTCCATCAGCGGAAATCCACTGCCCCTCAGACACTCCGCTCACTTCTTGAGTTGCTCTTGCCCGTTTGTTCGCATCCAGATATTTTTAAAAGGAGCTGAGCACCGAGGTAGATGTGGTTCACTCATGAAGCCAAGTGAACCTTTTTTTGGCTTTAAGCGATACTGTGTGTTTAAGGTTTAAAGATGGCATCAGGGCAGTGATTTCAGGCGTTCACCTAACTAACCTCCGCAGCTCCAGAAAGTCTGAACGCTATGAGAATCTGGAGTTCTGTTTCACATTTTACCCCCTTTTGATGATCAAACCTTTAGTAGTGGTAACCAGGCAACAAGCAGTTCCTCTGGTCTCATGGCAACCTTTCACGGAGGCTTGTAGTCACACATTCTCTCTCCTCCTCTGACTGCAGACCCTCCTGACCCCACTGCTCCAGATGAGTGGAGTTGGCGGTGGGGGATTCTTGCCAAGAATGAGTTTGAGTCCACCGTGTGGTGCTGCACCTTCGCCCTTAGACATGCGGGTGATACGGTCTTCAGCCGCTCTGCCTGTGGGGAGGCGTCAGAGGGAGGAGTGCCGGGTGCCAGGCTGGACCTCCTTCCCTAGGGGAAGGCAGGCCTGTCCTGCCCCCTGCCTGGGGGGATCAGTGGCCCGGGTCTCTGTGCTCCTGCAGACTCGGCAGCTGGTGACGGTCTGTGACTGCAAGCTGTTGGCCAGCTCCATCCACGGGCTGAATGCCGCGCGACCCGACTACATTGCCTCCAAAGCCTCCCCCACTGCAACGGAGGAGGAGCAGGTGATGCTCAGGAACGACCAGGACACACTCATGGCCAGGTGGACGGGGAGAAACAGCCGGTCTTCTCTGCAGGTGGACTGGCACGAGGAGGAGTGGGTGAGTGCTGCCCAGGCGGCCCTCCTGCTGACGGGCACAGTCTCCCCAGGGCGCCGGCTCCTTTGTGAACAGCCCCTCCTGCAGCTGGCCCCTGCTGAGGGACGGAGCCTGCACCCTCAAGCCTTAGTGTCTGCTGAGGGGCAGGGCTGAGCCGTGGGCTGGGTCCATCTCAGACAGGGTCTGAAGGAGGGGAATTTCCCCCCTTGGAGCCCTTGTCCGGCAGAGGACCTTGCTTTTCCCTGGCACCTCTTGAGCTCCTGGCTACTTGAGTGGCCGAGCCTCTCCTGCTTGCTCCGTTCGCCGGCCCAGGGCTGCTGTGTGTTTTGGGAGCTCTGCCCAGAGACGAGTGAGCTCAGGAGCTGGGGCGGGGCAGGCAGGGAGGCTCCTGGGGAGGCCCTGAGAGCAGACGGGGCTCAGTCACACACCTTATTTCAGTCCTTTGTTGGGAGTACCGTTGAAAAGCATAAGCTGATGGTCAGTGGTCTCCTGGCTGTATGTGTCTCTGCCCCGCCTCCCCAGCGCCCCCTTCTCCTCCTCCCATGTCCCCCCTTCCCCCATGATGAGTGGTTTCCATTCCCTTCCATCAGAAAGAGGCCTTCCTCCTCCGTAATGCCCACAGGAGAGCTACAGTGGGGGGAGGGAGCTTGGGCCGAGGCTGGCCCCCATGCCCTGTCACCCTTACTGCCCACACTGGGAAGGACAAGGTGGCCCTTGTGGCAGCTGCTACAGGCATCTCCCAAACTTGGAGAACAGCGACCAGAGGACATTGGTTCTGCCCTCGAAAAGTGCATACTGCTTGCTCTGAGGGAGGACAGCCGGGTGAACCCCGTGTGGTGGGATGTGACCCACTGAAGGCTGTGGCCGGGGCAGGGTGGAGGCGGCCGGCGTGTCTGTCACGTGGCTGACGTGCCCGGGCCCTCTCGGTTGGAAGGAGAAGGTGTGGCTGAACGTGGACAAGAGCCTGGAGTGCATCATCCAGCGGGTGGACAGGCTGCTGCAGAAGGAGCGCCTGCAGGGCGAGGGCTGCGAGGACGTCTTCCTCTGTGCCGCTGCCGCTGCCGCCGCCGCCGCCGCCGGCAGCTGCCCCAGCAAGAAAGGTAACCGGCACAGCCGGGCCTACTGGATCCGGCCGGACGACCCCTTCTGCGATGCCCCCTCATCATCATGCCCCTCCGCCGCATGCCACCCTCACCCGACCACACGTGCGTATGCCTTCACGCTTTCAACCCGCACCTCCACCCTGCGCTGCGCCCATTCTGTCTGTCTGTCCTCTGACTCTGTGAACTCCTCTCCAGTGGCAGGCTCCCCGGGGGGCTGTCAGGCAGAGAAAGGGGCCTTGGTGCACACAGCAGCAGGCACGAGGGCAGATATCCGTCTGTCTGTCCACATGATGGGGCCCATGTGTGGATCTGAACTGGATGCTCCTGTGCCCACCATTGCAGCTGCTGCCACCACCGCCGCAGCAAGGGTAGCACTGCCCAGCTTCTCGGGCTTTCAGACCGAGCTGAGCTCCTGAAAGAGGCAAGGCTGCAGATGGCTTTCCACAGACTGTTCACATGAATGGGTGTTCAGGGACCCAGCTGGAGAGGTGACAGCAGGCCCCGCTGACTTGTTGAAAGGCAGGTGGTTAACTGGTTGAGCGGGTTTTATCTCAGAGAAGCACGGTGCGTCAGACCTGGGAGAGTGCAGTCAGTTGGCAGAATCTCATTTCTGCATCTCGAGGGCACCGAGTTAGGTCCTTGTGTCCAGCACCCCAGTCTAGGAGCACCACGGGGACACAGGCTTCAGAAGCAGGGCACTGTGACCCCCAGCCTTGACACGAGAAACACACTTCCACAACAAGCAGATCCCTGGTCCCTGGAACTCAGGGGCCTCTCATCCCCTCTTGAGAGCTGAGCGGATGACGGACCAGGCAGCTGAAACATGGCCAACCCGTGTCTGGGGAGTTTTCAGTTGCAGTGTGGCCGTTGGATCAGTGAAGTTGCTAACTGCCAGGACTGCGGTTCAAGCCCACCAGGCACTCCTCGGGAGAAGCTACGTGTTTCCTAGAAAGATGTGCAGCTCCAGAAACCCTACGTAGGGTCGCCATGAATCGGGAACCTGGCGTAGTGGTTCTGTGTTGGGCTGCCAACTGCGAGGTTGGCAGTTAGAAACCACCAACTGCTCCCTCGGAGAAAGACGGGGTGTTCTACGCCCATAAACAGTTGTAGTCTCAGAAACTCACGGGGGCAGCTCTACCCGGTCCCATCAGGACTCTGAGTTGGCAGCTCTGGATAGCAGTGAGTTTTTGTTTGTTTGTTTTTATGAATCAGGACAGGCTTGATGGCAGTGAGAGTTTTAGAAACTTCAGTAAAGAAGGCCCAGGTGTGCCTCATCTTTCTCTGGCCAAGCAGCTGTTGGGTTTGAATTGCTGACCTTGTGGTTAGCTTTCTGCTTACCCACCAGTACCACTACGGTCTTGATAGAAACCAAGCCCAGGGGTGCCAAGGGCAGGGTTCATACCGCAAAGGTTTCACAGTCCATGGTGGGCTTCTTTATCATGAGCCCCTTGATGAATCCTTTCTCTGTTTATCAGATGCTATTCACCTTTCTAGCCCTGGTGGTATAGTGGTTATACATTGGGCTGCTAATTGCAAGCTCAGCAGTTCAGAACCACCAGGCGGTCCACAGGAGACAGATGGGGCTTTCTACCCCTGTAAAGAGTTCCAGGCTTGGAAACCCCCAGGGCAGCTCCACTATGCCCTGTAGGGTCGCTGTGAGTCGGCATCAACTTGGTGGCAGTGAGCTTGGCTCTTTGAGACCCTTGTTTTAACGTGGTCTTTTGCCATTGGGACCCTTGTTTCACCGTCTCCCAACTCCCACCCCGGGGTTGGTAGCCTGGCTTCCCGGAGCGTTTGTCTCTCTTTAGGATGCGTTTCTCTGTGTGCCTGTGTTTCTTCTCAAACATCTGTCAGACTCATTACTCATTTCTCCCTGGTATCGTCCGCTTTGTCATTTTCAAACTTCTGGCGACACAAAACGGGTTATTGACTGGATGCTTTCAAATGCAGGTGGTAGTCTGTTTGACCGGACCTGTGTGTCTGTAACATGCATGCCACGTGTGAAAGCCCATCCTGTGGCGTCTGCGTGTATAATTGCATGTGTCCAGTTACTGACATGAGTGTTTCCTCCTGCTGTGGAGGGCCTGATGCGTACACGCGTGTGCCGTAAGAATCCGCCGCGCTGTCGTGGTTCATGGGTGTGGGAAGCGGACAGGTGAGAGGGTCTCGCTCCGCTGGCCAGTACTCTGAAAAGAACTGTATGAAACCATATGCCAAACACTACAGGAGCTCCAGGAGTTCCTCTGTTTAAACATCCATAGCGTAGCTGAGGTGCTGCCCGGCCCCAGTGAGATCCTGAGGATCCGAAAGAAGCAGACTTGTGTTGCCCAGTCCCATGATCTCACGTGCCAGAGCCTGTATGGGCTGTGGCCCCTTTAACTAGTTCATGTTGCTGAAGCTGTTGCTTTGGCTTAGCGAGTAGGTTGTGTTCACACCAACATATGTATTTTATGCAAGCGAATTGTGTCCCAGCCCTCGCGGCATAACGGTTAGGTATTGGACTCCTGACCACAGATTAGCAGTTCAAAACCACCATCGGTTCCGTGGGAGAGAGATGAGGCTCTCTCCTCCCATAAACAGTTACAGCCTCAGAGTTCCCCTTTTCAGCTCACCTTTGCCAGAACCAATCAGGGCTCTACTGCAGGTGGGTGCACACAGGGCCAGGGCTGACAGGTTCCTGCCAGCTGGAACCCCAGAGGTCCTGCGGCCTCCCTCCCTGATTCTCCATAAGCGGTCCCCGCCACACCCGCACCACCATTCCCCTCAGGACATGAGCACTACCATGGCCTTCTTCACATACATGCTCACCTGGAATTGATAGCTGTGCCGTGGCTTCGTGGGCGCCAGGGCTGCATGTCTGTTGAGAAAGTCCGTAAGGGTCATCAGATCTCAGGGAGGCCTATGAGTTCTAAGAAGCTACAGTCATTGTTCCAGGGGTCCCAGAGGAGACCCCCTTGCTCTCCTTTGGAAAGAGCCATGCATCATTTCACGCTTTAATCCCTGATGCCCACAGGAAGGGCCCCAACCTAACTCCTGGGGTCACCATGGAAGCTCATGCACGCTGACTTCTAGACCTTTGTCCTCATTCACAGACTCGGGATCTAGGGGGAGAGGTGATGGCTTGGGAAGTTGGGGTGCAAAACTCTGTTCCAGGCCCAGGGTGATTCTGATGAGCTGGACAGATAGTTAAGAATCATTGTCCTGCACCACTCCACCCCACCCTGGGCTGCTTTCTACTTGGCTGTTGGTCTCACCAGATTTGGGGCAGACCGCAGGGGCTGAAGTCTTTAAGTGACAGACTATCTCAAATGTTCTACCCCCGCTAGCAGTTTAAGAAGCCCTTTCTATGGATGATTAAAGGGAAAGGGCTCCCTCACCCACCCCGCTGCTTGATCGTGCAGGCTGTAGATGCACTATCCTCACCTGCACCTGGGGACCCCCCCCCCACGCGCCCCAGAGGAGACGGCCAACCACGAAAGGCTGCTGCAGTGGATCCCCTGCAGTTCCTAGCTTCTCTCAGCAAAGCTTCAAGCTTGTTCTGCCTGTTCCCGGAGCTCTGAGAGCCTTGGCTCCACATCCCAAAGACAGGGTTTTCAATTACGGAAGCGCTGAGATGTGAAATGAACTTTTTACTCCAAGTGCCCCCTTTCCATTACCCGTTCCTTCCTGGTGGCCTACCCAGTTGCCTTCGTTTCAAAGGGAAATGTGAATCTGAAATGACTCCCCCACGAGCAACACCGTGTTCGGAAGATGAAACTAGGATGGGTGCCCTTTGAGGGAGCTGGAGGGACACGCTACTTCTGGCCTCCCCCGGGCCCCAGAAGGTTAGCATCAGGCGTTAGCGCTGGATTCTGGGGTGGGCTTGTTTGGCATATGGATTTTGGTTTCAGCCCTGGACCTTCACAGTCTGGTCTCGGCAGTCCATCTTCAGCCCGGTCTCACCAGGGCCCCCGTGAGTCAGGCTCGAGGGCTCTGACCCGCTGGCCAGTCTCTCTCATCCCCAGTCTGCTTCTAGACGTTGCGAACCAGCACAGGGCTCTGCCGTATTATGCAACGTGATCAGTGTGCCCGAGGCATTCATCACATCGTACCGTGTTGGCTCACGCACCCCGAGGGGCATCGTGTGTGCAAGTGTTAGCAACATCCGCGGGCGACTCGGCGTCGCCAGGCCAGCAAGAGGGCCCGCTGTCTGAGAACAGCAGAGCACCTTCGAGTGGCTGGTGGGCTGAGCAACAGAGCCCTCGCACTGCCGCCAACTGCAAGCTGCGTGTGCAGTTGCTCTCGGCGTTATGTGTTCTCGCTTGAACCATGTTGCTGCTCCTTAACCGTGGTGTCGCCTCCATTTCTGTGCAGATGGCAGCCCCCCTGCTGAAGAATCCAGCCCAGGTACGTGGCTCCTGCTGAAGGCTCCGTACCTTCCTCCTTCACGTTCCCATAGGGTTTCTCAATCCAAACCAGGGGTTCTCAAACTGCGACCCGCCGAGGACATTTATCGAGCCAGCCAGATGTTTTTGCCACCGCTGCCTGTCCTGCTTGGCAGCCGACTCGTCCACTGTGAATAGGAATTTGTTCATAGTTTTTTTTGAAAACTATAGTCCGGCCCTCCAACAGTCTGAGGGACAGGGAAATGGCCCCGTTTAAAAAGTTTGAGGACCCCTGGTCTAAACCGTCAAAGGCAGCCGTGTGCTCCCCGAACTTGGGGAGTACTCGGGGAAAGCCTTCCTTGTATGGAAGCAGCTTTGGGGGTCGAACAAACCTTTCATAGGGGTCGCCAGATTGAGCACAGTAGCAAAATGACAGTGATGAAGTAGCAATGAAACTAACTTTATGGCTGGGGGGTCATCACAACATGAGGAACTGTGTTAAAGGGCCACGGCATTAGGAAGGTGGAGAACCACAGAGCTCTAGGCAGGTGCTCCAGGGACGGGCTGGGGCTCGCCAGTCTGCTCCTGCCAGCTGTCCGCGTGCCTTCCTTCCTGCTGCCCAGCTCCATGCCTCGGCTCCGCGGAGAGGCCCCAGAACTCAAATAGATTTGACTCATCTGATTTTACTCAGGTGCCCCATGCCTCCTATTTTGCTTCTAGGAGTCTCTCTTTCTTAATGTAATCAGTGTAACGTTAAGCTTTTAGTGGGTCTCCAACTGAGACCCCCTCAATCCTCAGGGTCACCGAGGCCTTGGTAGATCTGCTCATAGTTAACCCTGCCTTCTCCTCCTCCCCTGGCCGGTTTCCGCCTCCACTCACAGCTCAGTGCCCTCAGACAGCAGGCTTTTTTCCTCTGAATGGCAGTGGGGCCACACCTAGGAGGGAATGGGCTGGTGGCACCAGGCACCTGGACCACAGAAGCCCAGGCATTCTCGATTCCGACTTGGTTCTCTGAAGTGTGGCGAGCTTAGAGGGAGTCTGCCAAGTTCACGGGCAGTGTATAGGCGACACCTGGCTTTGTAAGGCTATCCTGGTTGTGTGTTAATTATATCATCTGTCCTGATGTCAAATGGCATGCACTGGAGGGTCCTCTGGCTTTCCTGTGCACTGCCTTTACTCTGGGTTAAAATGCACGTTGGCTCTCTCGCTCGCTTGCTCTCTGAGTGTGGTCTATGGACTGGCTACCAGCCAGCAGAGCTTACACATTAGCAAGGCAACAAGGAGCTTGCCCGAAGCTTGTCCCCTCCATGTGAACAGCCGCATCATTAAGGACATCATGTAGTGAGCTCATACACATGTGTGTATATACATATATACATATGTACGTATGTCTATTCTATCACAAGACTTTCTCCATGAAGGAGGCAGTGTCAAACCCTTCACCAATCCCACCACCCCGCCTCTTCGGTATCACTAGGTCCTGGGCGGACACGCCGTTGCGCTCGTGGGCCTCATTTCATTCAGACCACATTCGGTCAGAGGCTCCTCATAGGCCCCGAAGTGTGCTGTGCTCCAACTCTCGCTCTGTCCTCAGACGCCACCGCCTGACATGTTAGAAGGAACGTGGACTTCACAGTCCAGACAGACAGACTGATAGCAGGCTTTATTCCGTGTCTCTCGGAATGGCATTTAGCCTTCCAGAGCGTGCTGCCTTGCCTGTGCTGTCGGACCCTGTGCAGTAAGCAAGAGAACAGTTGTAACAGGCTGTAGAAAGGGCGGCTGGCGTGTGGACTGAGCTCTACAGCCCTCTCCAGGCTGGAGGGCACGCGCGCACACACACGCACACACACACACACACACCACCAGGGGCACGTGGCTTCTCTAAAACCTCTAGTGCCTTGACCTGTTTGCTCCTCCATGTCCAGCCTGTTCCACTCTTTAAAAGGCTAGCACACCAGAGTAATTTTTCATGAGCTTTGTGTTAGCGGGTGTATGAGGAGGGCATGCTCAAGGGGTCAGATGAGACCCTCTGTCACGATGGCATTCCAAGTCAAAGCCGTCTGCACAGCATGAGACATGCAGATGCCTCCCCCTGGAGAAGCCAGGCACAGCGGGCAGGCCCTGCTCCAAGAGCATTTGCAGCCGAGGGAGAACATTCTCGTGACTTCTCACTTTTCCCTCAACCATTTGACTATTGAAACGGAACTGCCGTGTGCCTGGTGCTAGTTGCCGGATGTCCTTGGTGTGTATTCAGATGAGCTCTTCAAAGAAACCCCTGCTGGAGCTCGGAGGGTTTCGGAGGACGGGGGAGGCGCTCACTCGGTCTACTTCTCCGGCCAGGCACCTTTGTCACCAAGACTTATTTGCTAAGACCTTTCTGTTGGAGACGTTCTAAATTTAACTCTGCTTTTCTTTTTCCCATGACAAGTCTAAATCCCTGTCCCCGTGCAGTGTGCCTGCATGTACGCTTAGATGGTTTCTAAATTTTGAACTGCCCTGTCTACTTGAAAACCCACATTCCCCAACCCGGCGTGCAGGGAGGTCCCTTTACACCCGTCAGCATTTCTCTAGATTGGGTCGCAGCAAAGAGGCAAACCTGCCAGAGGGCTTACCCTGAGAACCTCTGCAAGGGAAAGTCTTAGCAAGTCAATCACGGAGAAAGCAGGGAGTGAAAGGATAATGGAACGTTTTCGCCCACCCTTTGAAGCCCCCTCACAGTTGGAGAGAACAGAGCAGTCACCATTCCCCGTTTCTCAGATCCAGCCGGCGCAAGACAGACCGCCCCTCCGGTGCCTGCATGCTTCACGTGACCCCCTGGCCTCCCCTGAGCCCTGCGGTGTTGTCTGAGGGAGTCTGGGGTCCATGTCCTCCATCCCAGGATGGATGCTGCCCCAGCTCACTCACTGCCTCTGGCCGCACTTAGCTGTGGGCTCGCCCAGTGGTGGGTACCCGATGCCCATGTCTGGGGGGGCTGGTGACTTCTCACAAATAAAGCAGAGGAGGGCACAGCTCCTCTCTTCTAAACTGGTAGAAAGACCCAAAAAAGAGCAAAAGCCAAAGATAGCTTTCAACCCGCTTTTCTCTGTGGTTCTATTTTTAAAACGTTGTTTTGGTACAGGGCCAAAGTTTCTTTATGTTCTTAACAGGAAACGACAGAAATTGATGAGGGCATACGGAGGGCAGGGACGTGGGTGGAGTCTGCTCTGAAAATTCTAGCCAACCTGCACAGCTAGACGTGGTGGAGTTGGTTCTTGGTCCAAGGAGGGCTGGGGTCTCGGCATTCCTACCTAGGTGAAGAGGGAGGGGCAAGATGCTTGTCCTGGGCGTCTTTCCCTCCCTCGTCCAGGAGAGGCCGCTGTGGTAAGGAGACTGGGTCTTGTCCGGTCACTGACTCGCTGAGGCCTTTCTGTGGTCGTCCTCAAAGGCAGCCTTCAGTCCTTGAGCTTGGGCCGTAGTCTCCCAGGTCTAGTTGCAGGGTTGGCTCTCCGCAGAGCTTAGTGCCGGTCATGAGGTCAGAGTGAGGGCCAAGAAGAATCAGATGTCGATGAGGTGTGGGGAAGGTTCTCGGAGGGGTGACGTGTTAATCTTCCAGAACCCGCTCTTCACCATCTTCCTTTCTGAAACGACTCCTTCCCACGTGCTCAGGAGAATGGAGTGAGGCCCTGTACCCACTGCTGACCACCCTCACGGACTGCGTGGCCATGATGAGTGACAAGGCCAAGAAGGCGATGGTCTTCCTGCTCATGCAGGACAGCGCGCCCACCATAGCCACGTCCCTGAGCCTGCAGCATCGCCGAGACGTCGTCTTCTGCCAGACCGTAAGCTCCCAGGGGGCTCCAGGGAGGCACAGGCTCGTGCGACCTCATACAACAGGGGCTGTTTCCTTTCTCCCTCCTGTCACAATTAAAACTAGCTTCCTGTGCCTGTTTCTTTCAAATCTAGTTAACAGAAAAGTCCAGAATTTAGTATGTAAGGGAGAAATTGATTTTGTCACCGTGTACTTTGGAGAAGATCCACTTGTACATTTGTTGCTCCTGGAAATGTTTGCAGTGATAGTGTGTGCACACGGGCTGGTTCTGCTGGGGGTGGCGGTGGGGGGTGGAGGTGGTTCCAGGCCATATAGGTGACTTTTTTAAACCCCCTTTTGCTTTTCCCACAAGGGAATTTAAAGAGGGAGATATGGATGCCTGCTTCCAGTACAATCTGTTTTCTCATTGATCACACACCAGGTGCCTTAGTTCTGCTCCTCAGGCAGAACTGTCTGAACGATTTCTAACATCCTCCCGGGAACGGTAGCGTTTCAATGGATGTAACCAGTTGAGTTGGTGCCAGTCATCTCTTTAGTCAGGTCAGCAGGCTGGTCCTTGCCATCTGTCCCACCTGCCCTGGGGGGCCTGTTACAGCCCACAGAGCATCTCTCGCTGAGGAACCGGTAGAGTGGTTGTGTTCTCTCTCTCTCCTCTCTTCGCCATTGTAATTCCATGTCCATCCAGAGCTGGTATGGATCTGTGAGTGGAGACACCCCTTCAATGTGGCGCATTGATTCTGGGCTTCCAGAAAGCTCTAGCCAAGGACCCTCCAGGAAGGAGGGTCAGAAACCGGGCCCAAACCAAGCCCACCTTTGGGAACAACAGGTGGCAAGCCTGTAATGCTACACACTCTCTCCGAAGAGGACCCCAGTCCAAGGCTCTCCCCACGCCTCGGCTTCCCTGAGGGGAAGGAGGGCTGCTCTGATCCGAGTGGCTGGTGGGCTTGCACTGACTGCGATGTGAGAGGCGATGCCCCCCTTCAGCCACGTCCCTGTTTGTCTCCCCGCCGACTAGCTTACCGCCCTCATCTGCGGCTTCATCATCAAGCTGCGGAACTGCCTGCACGACGACGGGTTCCTGCGGCAGCTCTACACCATTGGGCTGCTGGCCCAGTTTGAGAGCCTGCTGAGCACCTACGGTGAGACCTGCAGGCCGCGGGTGTGCCCAGCAGTTACCCAGCTGGTTCTGATCTTTGCTCCCTGAATGCTTTCCTGACCACCCACCTGAAATGTGCTCCCTGAAACAGAGCCACCACCCCGGGGTGCCGAAGGTGTTCCTGTAACAGGGACTCCTGGGAGAAGCCCCAGAGAAGCGTGTACACACACAGCCCCTCGGTTTTTGTCGTTGCTGTCATTTGGCGACTTTCTGTGGAGCTTGAAGATGGACCATAGGCATTGAACTAGTCGTGTAGGGCCAGACAGCAGGGTGGTTGGGGACTGCCGCTGTTCAGTGCTGCAGGGTGGCATCTTTGCACTTAGGTCTGTGGGCCGGTTGCTGCAACCACCAGGCAGTTAAAGGGAGAGTTGCTGAGCCAAGAGGTAGGAGAATTCACTAGGTATCTGCAAGTTGTCGTCCGCTTATTTCTTCAGAGGAGGTGAAAAATTGAGACTTTGAAAGCATTCACTCACGAGTGGTGTTGTAAGTCCCTTGTCATGGAAGGATCTGGCTGTAACATCACCATGGGACTGTGTCGCTTTTTCTCTCTTCAGAAAGCTAGTCTTTCCTTCTGAGGCCCCATGGGTTTCCATCCCACAGCCCTGAACCAGCCAGGAGGGTGCAGGGGGGAGGCTCTCTTGCCTGTCAGCTGCTGCTGCACATGACGCCCACGGTAGTGGCGGCTGCAGCGTTTACTTGGGGAAGTAAGCCAGTGGGTGATGAGGCCACTCACCCCATCCCATGTAGCCACGCCTGGGTCTTCCTGGGCCCCCACATGCACTGCCGTGGGGCAGCCCCTGCTGCGCTGCGTGACAGCCTTTCTTCCCTCTCCTGGGCGCAGGCGAGGAGCTGGCAATGCTGGAGGACATGAGCCTCGGGATCATGGACTTGAGGAACGTGACCTTCAAAGTCACGCAGGCCACGTCCAGCGCATCGACTGACATGCTGCCGGTCATCACCGGGAACCGGTAAGCCTGGTGCTCCCCAGCTGCTGCTTTGGTTAATAAATCCTCTTTATTGGGGGCTTTTTCAGCTCTTAGGACAATCCATTCATCCATTTGTACATGTGCTGCCACCATCATTGCCAAACATTTTCTTTCTACTTGAGCCCGTGGTATCAGCTCTTTTTTCCCCTCATGAGCCCTTTATCATTTTTAATTATTTTTATAGCTTACACCGTCTGCTGTCTCCCTTCACCCACATTTCTGTTGTTCATCCCCTGGGTGGGGAGGGGGGATTCAATGTCAGTCATTGCGATTGGTTCCTCCTCCCACCACCTTCCTCCTACCATGGTATCGCTCCTCTCATTATTGGTCCTGAGGGGTTATCTGTCCTGCATTCCCTGTGTTTCCAGCTCTTCTCTGCACTCGTGTGCATGCTCTGGTCTAGCCAATTTGTAAGCTAGAGTTGGGATCATGATGGGGGGGGGGGAGAGAAGCAGCATTAAAGAACTAGAGGAAAGTTGTATGTTTCCTCAGTGCTATACTGCACCCTGGCTGTCTCTTCTTTCCTTGTGACCCTTTTGTGAGGGGCTGTCCAGTTGTCTACAGATGGGCACTGGATCTCCACTCCAACCCCACTCACTTGCATTGATATGATTGTTTCTGGTCTTCTGATGCCTGAACAGTATCAATCCCGTGGACTCCTCGTGATTGCCCAGGCTGGTGTGTTTCTTCCATGTGGGCTTTGTTGCTTCCCTGCTTGATGATAGCTTGTTTACTTTCAAGCCTTTTAGACCCCAGATGCTCTATCATGTCATAGCCGGGCACCATCAGCTTTCTTCACCACATTAGTCAATGCACCCGCTTTGTCTTCGGCGAGCATGTCTGGAAGCTGGGTGCTCTCCACTTCTGAGAGCCCACCTGGTTGTTCTCACATGTATTGCGTGCCATACATGTCCACTTTGTTAAGAATGCTGGTTGCCTTCCTTGCCATCAGTGGGCTCCCTGGCTGGCAGGGCGGCCGCCAGGGAGCTGGTTTCCTGGCCTGCTTAGTGGGTCCCTGGCCCTGCTGCACAGCCCCCCTCCTTCCTCTCGCCACGGTTTCCCAGCGACGGCTTCAATGTGCGGATCCCCCTGCCGGTCTCGCTGTTTGACTCGCTGCCCCGGGAGATCCAGAGCGGCATGCTGCTGCGGGTGCAGCCCGTCCTCTTCAACGTGGGCATCAACGAGCAGCAGACGCTGGCCGAGAGGTACGTATCCCCTGCTGTCCCAGGACAAGCAGCCACTGTGCTGCTGGCAGAGACATGGTCCCCTCCTGGGGTTTCCCGGGGCCTGACTCTGGGGCTGGAGAGGCGCAGGTGTGTCAAACGTGGTCTCTGGGCTCATGGAGAATCAAGGGAGGGCAGTGGTGAGGGCAGCCAGGCTGTGTGTGCCCACCCCAGAACTGTGCCTTGAGCCTAATGGCTTATGCCTTTCAAACCTCCCTCCAGAGTAACTTGCTGGCCGGCAGAGAGGAGTCTCGTGTATGTGTAGACGTGTGCGTGGGGTGAGTGGGTTGGGCATGTTTGTGGGAAAGGAGGGGTGAGCTGTATATAATACAACTCCTCATACACACTCTCGCCTCTGTGTGCCATGCACATTTCACTGTATAAGGAAGGGCACCTTAACACTGTTGTTTCATGTCCTGGAGCCACTTCCGACTCGTGGCGACTGTGTGTGCGAAAGACCAGCACGCTGCTATTCCTCGCTGCCCTTACCATTGCAGTTGTGCGTGAGCCCATGGTGGCAGCCCTTCCCACTGAGGGTCCTCCTCCCTCCCGCTGACCCCGTGTCACGGCCTGTTGGCTAGTCCACAATGCAGGATGTCATTGGAGGGGCACGTGTCCCTCCACTGACGCCGGGGGTAGGAGGGGGCCTCCCCTGGAGACACAGCAGCATGGCTTGAGGGAGATGCTCCAGAACCTTAGAGGGGCACACATTCAGATGTACGTTTTAAGTCAGCTTTGCTGCCCATGGGCTGGATGTGTGGGGACAAGGGGATGAAGAGGTGGTTGGATCGTGGCCAGGTGAGCTTCAGTGACCTGGATCAGGGCAGGGCGGTGTCTAAGGGACGGAATGCCTTTATGCAGGCGACTGTTGATCCTGGAAAGGCTGAGGCAGGATGGGTGCACTAAGCAGAAGGGCTGGCTTGGGGAGGTCACGAGATGAGTCGGTGAGATGGGAGCCGGGTGACGCTGAGGTCACTCAGTAGGAAGAGGTAGAGCTGGCCTGGGCATCCGGGTCTTGAGACTGTTCAGCTGCCTTCGTAAAGAGCCACCTTAGCTGCCGGCACACCGGCCGGTGAGTCCACGAGTCACCCTGCAGGCCCTGGCAAGCCTCACTGGGACAGCGTAGGAAAAAGGAGCCAGTACCCTGTGGACAAGCCAGGGCCACAGTCAGACTGCTCACCGGGTGTCAGACAGGCCTGGCTTCTCACGTCTCACTCCTGGCTTTCACCCCGCTCCCAGTTGCCTTTGAGAAGAGGGGGACAGAGGGGTGGGTGGCAGGGCCAGCACCTTGCAGGGGCGCCTGGTACAGATGATACTGGTCCTGCCCATGAGTACCCACGTTCCAGTGCAGTAGAGCTGGCCCTAAGTTCTAGAAAAGGGAAGTGGCCCGGAATCCACCCAAGAACAGACTGAACACTCAGGGAATGTTTGAAAGAATGGGTCGTGTGCACTGATGGTGTCCCCGCATCACCTTTCCAAGGTTCGGAGATACGTCTTTGCAAGAGATGATCAACGTGGAGAGTCTGGCACGGCTGACGTCCTACTTTGAGCAGTTCAAGGAAGTTCTGCCGGAGGATTGTAAGTAGCCCCCGGCTCTGGGCCCGATTGCCTTTCTTGGTGATGTGCCCCTGTAGTATTAAATTTAAAAAATTGGCGCTGGTGGGTGAAGGGCCAGCCCCCACCCGCTGCTGCTCCTACGAGTTCAGTAATACTACTTCTGGGTTCAGTAATGCACAATTGTA